GAAAATTTCCACCAAACCACATAAAACTATTATATATTACTACTTTATATATTTTTTTTCTACATCTGTATTATATCTTTTATACATGCATATCTTTTAACTTTTTTGCCGTACTGTAACTTTTAAACTCTTCAATTAAAAATTTACTTTCAATTTATTTATTTATTTATTTATTTGACTTGATTGCACCGTAAACTGCTACACAATTAGAATATTGTCAAACCACAACACTCTGTGTTATTAGAAAGTCTTGACAATAGATTGCCAAAATATATTCATTCAATTAAGGTTATTTGAAAAGCATACTTTATCAACACAACACCCACAGCATGTCCATATCGGGCTCTACATACCCGATAACCAGACATATCGCCTCGTGTATATCTTAAAAGCATACAACTGTCTGCCAGCAAAGCAATTGCTTTGCATTTTAAGACTTTCAGCATCCAATTACGACTTGCTCAATTAAGACCTAAGAAAATGGTTATTCCATCTGCATATTTGCTGACACATAAGTGCATACGACGAGTGTGTGTTTAAATATGTACACGTATACATATAAATTTGGTTATAATTTAAATGGATGCACATATGCCGATTCGTACAAGATTAATGCAAATGTTTGCAACTTTCTGATAACGTAATTGCAATTGCTCTCAAATTGTTCATGCTACAATATTTGTAATTTTATTAAATATCAAATTTGAATACAGATACATAGGATACCATTTTAAGTAAAATAACTTAAATAATTCATTTTTATTGCCCATAAAATTTAATACTACTTTATTTTAAAATTTATTTAATTTTAAATCGTATGAGATTAACTTTCCAACCAATAAAAGTTTGTTAAGAGATATTATGGATGTATTACATGCAGGTATTACTGCATTCGAACGGAAGCGTTTATTCTAATAAATGCTACTTATTGTAATAATAGTACGACTGTACATATATTGTGATAGAAGCAATGCAATAATTATTACAGTCAAATCATTATACTAAAGTTACTACAATTAAAACAGAGTTACGTATTTTTTGATATAATTCAACAAAATATACTGGTTTTTGCGAATAATGAAGTTAAGACAAAGAAAAATATGGTAATAAATTTCATTTATTACAATAAATCAAAGTCCATATGAAATACATGCATGCTGCCACTCTGCCTATTAAACGGTGACAAATGCTTGCAACTGCTAACATATGTTAGTACCATCAGATACCCAACATTGCTTAATGTGATCTCGTAACTTAATAGATTACTTAATAGATAGATTACTTGCGTACCGGTTAAAAAAATATTAAATAAGCTTTTATAGTTTTAGTGCTATTCGATGTAAACTGACTTAATAAAAATTTATTTTTCCCCCATTTATTTCCACCAGTCTGGGCCATTACCCCATTCCGTCTACTCATAACGCTACTATTACCTACATTTGAATAAGCGCCGCTATTATCCAATGTCAAATTAACTATACTGCCCAAATAGGTCTGCAACTATAAGATACCCGATGTAAAACTCGCACACTTCTTGGCCATCCAAGCTGTTCTCAAATTTCTGACAAGCGCTACATCTACATACTTGCCAGTTTGACAATGCAAGACTTCTCTCAAAGAGTTGGGTAGGGATATCTCGTACAACTGCTACAGGACTGATTTAAACTTGCTATAAATACATAATCTAAAGACAATAAATACAATAAAATTAGCATATATTTATGCGTTAATATTTAAGTAATCATATTAAATTGAAGTTTTAATATATGTTAACAACATTAAAAGTATTTGAGACTCTTGACAACTTTTGCAAACAACTGCGGAATATGAAATGATAGAAAAACTAATTTTAGATTTTGAAAGAATTATGTACTTATTGAGTTATTTACTCAAGAATTTAACTTTCTACGCACTCTTCATATATATTTATGAATGCGTATATAAGTAAAACTACTGGGCACAATCATCCAACTTTAATTACAATTAGTTTGGTGCAGAAAAACTTGAAACAAATATTCCCCTTTGATACAATCACCCCTAAACGATTACTCCTTCCCCTAAATACCGCGTTGCTATTAAAGAAATAATAGAACACTCTCATTAGAATGAGAGTGTTAAATGTCAAAAATATATGTTATTTATTGTAACATTATATACCATATATTGGGAGTATAAGACTCGAAGAGAGGGTGAATTTATATGGTAGAGATCGATTAACAAAAGTGACCAATTGACGAAATAATGGTTCATCCCGAATTACGATATTTGGAAAGAAAAGAGATTAACAAATTGTTGATGATCGTTTTAACATATAAATGATTCTAAGTACATAATATATTCTTAATCCAAATTAATTCAATAGTCTTATTCTTAGTAAAATATGTATTTCAATATAGCTATTATTGATTATTTTATTAAAACAAATTGGACAGGTGTGGTTGTTTCAATAGTCATTTGTCGAGTTGAAAACTACAAAATGCGACTCTTCCAGACAAACAAGTTGATGTCCCGGTAGCAATCACGCGATCAAATAATATCTTATGATTCTGTCGTTAATGAAACCAAGTGCAGGGTGCGGATTTAAGAGACCGCGGTTGTTAACTTATATGTATACATGTAAGAAATGTTATTTATTAGTGCAGTACGACCGACTGCATACGACTGACTTCTTCAAACCACTGTCAACTATTGCTGCGTTTCACTTCTGTCACAGACAACAACTGTCATGATTACAGTGATGCGACCCTGTTACATACATAGTAATAAATAGGTATACATAGAACATAGTCAAACCATGAGCCAAACAATACTCGTATCAATACTCGTAGATTTCATATTCGTAAAAACTTACTTATTTCATAAACGTAATTATGTAAATTTTTATTAATTAATTAATGTAAAATTGTAAATGACTTACGATTACGTCCAATCAATTTTACGAGATACTCTTTTAATTATCATATAGGTAGAGGGAGCTACATGGAAGCAAGTAAAATTGGCAAAATCTTTAAACTAATCCAACGCTTCGTTGACAAGAAAATAAAATCAAGTGCAAATGTAAATGAAAGAGTTGATTTATTGCTTGGTATACAAAATAATATTATGCAGTTAAAGCAATTGATTCGATTTTGTTTGTTTGTGAAAGCAGTAGAAAAATCAGTTTACATACCAAATGGTGCAATACTCCGACCCAACCATCATCAGATAGATGGCAACATCGCGTTTTTCTCTGCAAGTACTCGAACACCATTTGAACTCACTTGTCTGTCTGTTATGCACATTCGCCAGGATAAAATCGACAGTTTTTACATAAATGAACTCAAAGAATAAAAATGACAAAAAGTAAAGAACGCAAACTGCACAAATAAGAGTAAAAAATAAATTTATTTCAATTGGATTTTATTTCGATGCATTGAGTTGCCACAAGTCGAAAATTTTATTTACGATTTTGCATACACTTTGCTGAAAGCTAATCGCTTGTATGTCTGACAAACTCAGCGAAGGACTAACAAACTGACAAACTGACAAACTGAGTGCCTGACACAACCGGCAGTCTTGATGCCATGAAGACTGCATCGGCAGACGCAGATGGAGGAAACAGCAACAGGATCTGCAGTTGGTTTGCGACAGAATCGAGTACTCGTCATGGAAGTGTCAATAAATTATTAAAAAAGTGTAAGTAGAATTGTTTTCTTGTGAAATGCTGAAATTCTGTCATTCTCAAGAAGCTCAAGGAAATTTCAAACTATTTTAAAGCAATTCCTACTTCAACTTTTTGCTCGAAGTTTCAACATTTTAAAATACAATTAATATTTTGCTTTTGCAAATATTTTTATTAAATTTATAAGCAAAATTTTAAAAGAAACAATTTAATTTCAAATATTATTAAGCAAATTAAACGAAACGCAATTTCGGCTACAAAACTTTTGCTCTGTAAAATGTTGACACCATAAAATATCGTAAAATTTTTCCGAAGAATTGTGCCAGTAATTTAGTAAAGAAATTTTTGATAATTAAATGAAGTCATAAATTGTAAAATTTTGAAATTCAACCACAGCTGACGATACGCTCTAATTTCTTTTACGAAACTCCGTTTGTGAAATCCTGCCCAAGGATAATGGCTCCCTACTTTTGTGGTGTGACCAATGTTTCAGTTATTTTTGGCTGCAATGCTATACGCGTTCAGAGTCCAATAACAACTGATAAATGTGATTTCTGAGAAAAATGTTATTCTATTCCCACTTTATAGAGGACAAGCACAATAATATACACAGAATTTGTCACAAAATTTAAATTGAATTGCGTGAAAATATTTTTTCGTCCTTAAAGGAGAATTCACTTGTCAGTTAAACAAATTTGCTCCTTGTTCCTTCACTAATTACGCAGGAAAACTGCGCTTTTGTTTTCGTCACAATCCCTTAATTTGTGGACTTGACTTTCATTTCAATGCTGAGAGTGAATAATATTAATGTAAGTACATTAAATTAAATTTAATTATTATGCAAATTAATTGCACAATTTCCTAAACAATAGTGTTGCACTAATTGGTACAGTATGAATGAAGGCGAAGGCTCTATGCACTTAAACAAAATTCTTCTAATGTGCTAAATATAGTATTTATATTTAAATTTGCTTAGTGGAAAACATATATGTATTATTGAGACTAGTTGAGTCATTGCACTTGAGCACTTTTACTCTCAATTAACGGTGAGGTTTCTTCATAACTCCTCTATACGCCTTGACTGGATTAATGTTATCAATTCATCAGACTAAGCAATAATTGACCACAGA